AACTCATCTTCATTGGTCGACTACAAACATGACGTATCATCTGAAACATGGAAGCAGCTACATGCCCATTAGCCCACAGCGTCATTAACAGGCGGCTCGCTCAGTGTGTGACGTGCACTTGTAGATAAAATATAGGCCTATATTAATGAAGGTTCATTAGTATAGTTTTGTATTTCTCTGTAATGTAGCACAGTGTTAACAATGTTACTGATACTATTCTTTCTCACACCTTCAACTCAAACCACCAAAATACATCATTTAATCATCAAATTAATATCGTAAACATGTGGGCGACTAGACGACTAATGGTGCCTGTCCATAGGCAGCCCCCTCACCTTGACATCTCTCTGTTTATGCATGTGTGTGTATTTCAGGCCTGTGTGTATATGGCAATGGAGTGGAAACAATCACATTTCCCCTCGGGGATTAATAAAGTATATCTTCTTCTTCTAAAGCTTTAAAATAACAAAATAATGGGGAACTTTTATTGCGAATAATTTATAGGAAATGAAACGTGTTTACTCCTTATAGCTGTTAAGTGAAGACAAACAGCTGCAGTCTGCAGCTTCAGAATGACTGTACTAACACTCATGGAAAAAATGAAAACGCTTTTTTCCCCAAAATGTCAAACTATTTCTTCAAATGCAAACATTAGTAGACAGACTGTAATTTATTTTACAGTCACTGATTCAACCAGGAAGTCTCTTGAGACTGCTGCTCCTAACACGTGATAGTAGGTGTGAGGTAGTGTGTCTGTACTTTACTCTCATCCCAGTTAAAATATTTGTTGACAGGTAATAGCTCAGTTTTTACCCTGAGCAGTGTTGGAGAGCAGTCGGCTCATCTTGAGAGGAAAGGCTTTGATGAAACTGAGGCCCGTCCGCTCCATTATGGTGACATCTAACGTGAGGTTGTGCACAAGCTGTCCCGGCCTCAGACCCAAACTGAGCTCGTAGCGGCCGAGTCGACGAGGCAGCAGCTCCTCGTAGGACAGGGAGAAGGACATCCGAGCTCCTGACGGCACGCTCACTGCCACACGAAACTTCTCAATCTCCCTCTCTCTGGAACACCAGGAAAGAAAGCTCACAATGTTGGATTGGATTATAGTCTCCTTTTAAAAAGTGTTAGAAAACATACAGCATGACACTGCAGGAAGTGACATTCACTTTATTTCAAAGTAAAAAAAACAAACTTGGGACTGACTTGGTGGCAACGAGTCCGGCTGTTTTCCCTTGCTTCTTAGCAGCATCGTAAATTTTCCTGGCAGCAGCTCTTTCCTTCACCTGGGCCACATACACCTTGCCGTTGGAGGTGCTGATGGGATGGAGGAAAGAGGAAGAAGAAACAGCTCTCTGTGTGACTCACAGTAGCCAGATTATATTTCAGTCAGAAACACGCCCGGCCTGCATTGAGTCCCTGAGCGTGATTTACTTTATTTCGCTCCTTGTGTTTCCAGAGCGATCACAGAGCCGCTTCACAAATGTGCATCATGTTTGTTTACTAATGGAGTTCATAGCATACGAAGGAGGAGGTGGGGTCATAAACAGGGCGAGTGGAAAAGAGTAATTTCCCTCTAAAAACAGCATTAATGAAGAGAGATCCTGAGGGCCGGTGACGCTCCGAGGGAGTGCCGCTGTGTGCTACACCCGGCAAAATCCCAACTAAAACCACCGCTCAAAAGTGGGATCCAATTCACACAGTGCACTTCCTAGACTTCGGTGACCGCTGATGTCACGTGATGAGGTGCTAAATTAAGGTCAAGTCCTTTGAACAAATATATCCAAAGAGAAAAAACATCAAGGACTAACTAAAATAAACCCACAGGCTTGAAGCGGGTCTTGTTTGAGAAACAGAGCAGAATGGCGAGAGTGGAAAATGGAGGTGCTTGTATTTATATGTGTGGCTGGCTGAGGGGGTAAAGGAACGGCTGTACATCAGTGACCTGCACACAGAACACAGACGTCTTAGTTTCAGACACACGGCTAACGCAATAATTTTTTCCCTCTGGTATTTGTTGATGTGCAGACGGCTGTATGGGCTCTGAGTGTGAAAATATGTGTAGCTGTGTGTGTGTGTGAAAGTGAAGGAATATGGTTGTAAAAAATAACTCTACACGCTCCAGACTCACCCATACTTAAAAAATCTACATCCACCTCCATGCAGGGAAGCATACATACAGTAGATGTCGGCGTGTGTTTGTGTGTGTGAAGTGTATCTAAACTGGCAGGCTGCCTCGGTAAACTGTGCGGGGGAGAAAAGGGGGACTGGGCAAACTCCTGTCATTTTCTCTATTAACTTTCTGACTTCCATTTACAAAGCCTGGTATTCATCTGCCCTCAGGTTCCCCCTCCTCCTGACCTGCTTCCGCTCCCAAATCCAGCTCCAGGTTTGGTGTTTGGCCTGCGATGTTGACTTATTTGTTTTGTTTATATTTAGCATTTTTTGAAGGAGAGCGGTCAGCAAACCCTCTTAGTAATCAAATTAAGCATCTCTCCTCCGGACCGGAATTCTAGTCCCTTACATAATTCCTCAGAAGTTTTATTTCTGGACTCTGCCCATTAGAGAACATTGCTTTTATTTATTTCAACTTCTCATCATGTTGCAGGTAAATATTACTCTTACAGGCAAGAAGAAATATCTCCCTATCAGTGCCTCTGATTCTGTAGGTGTGGATAAAAAGCCCTATTCGTTGTAAAGAATAATCATCAAAATCCATAGACTGTATAAAATAAGGCACATAGCCACCGTCATGTCACACACTGCTTTGTGGACTCCCATTTTGAAGCCTCAAGTCTGGCATATCGGCATACGCCATCTTGGGTTTTTGGAGCCAGACGCACCTAGGCACCAATTACCTTTACAGAGCAACTGCTGTAGTATAAAGAGGAGAAGGTCCCCATAAGCAGGTGGATGGATCAAACAAACCCTGGACTTTCACACAGGAGACCGCAGTTTGTGTCCCATGTGAAACCTGAAGTTACTTATTTTAATAACAACATAGTGTCCTGGTGTTTATGTAACAAGGTCAGTTATACAGCAGTGATATGTGTAACACAGTCAAATGAACATTTGTAATGTTAAGTATTATAATTACACAAAATTTGTTTCAGTTGTTTTTACCTGACACGCATAGCCCTCCATAGTTAATATGTGGAACGTTTGATACTCAGTTTCTGTATCGGATGTATCATGTAGCCCCAGTAAGTAGCATTACCACAAGGACTCAGGCTGAATAGCCGTCATCAAAATATTATCTATTAATGGCACCTTTGTCTATTTATCTATGTATCCACTAAAACCATTTTTTAATGGATACATAACACCAGTACATTGGAACTGTACATTGGTCTCTTTTGTACTGAGAGACTACAAGTTAACAAAATGGAAAGACAGATGCTCAAATAGACCCTTTTACTGTTAGTAAACAGTGTGACGTTTTTGGTGGGCGGGGCTTAGCGGGAGGCAAAACTATTCTCCACAGACATTAGCCAGAGCTAGCTAGCAAGTTCTTCTGGCTTGTTTTAGTGGTGCGTTCATAAATTCTCATTCTGAGTGTCGGAGTGCACTCTGGCTCAAACTGACCGCTTGGAGCACTGTCAGAATGTACCATTCGGTTATCCAGAGCGTCGCACTCTCAGAGTGGCTGAGCGCACTCTGGACACTGTCTGTGGAGACGGAGCAGCAGAGCGTTGAGCAGAGTGAATGTGTGATTAACTTAACTGTTTGTTACTTTATATAGAAATATAACGCTCCGTTTCTTCATCCAACAGGGCTCTCATTTTAGTGTAGAGAGTCAGACTGAATTTACAAACGCACCATGTCAGCTCACTCACTCTCCGGGACCGTGAGTGTTAGTTGAATAAGTAAACACTGACCAACAGGACCAGACTGGCCGACCCGTATGCTCTCACTCAGTGGATGGATGATGTCACAGGAAGCCAATCTTACAAAGGAGGACCACACTTGAACGGTTTCCTCCAGTTTATTTTGCTATCAAAGCTAATGTTAGCTAAAGTGCTAAAAAGTTAACGTTCCAGAGAAATCCAATACTCCTCTTAATCCCTCCCCAGTTTCTGATGAGGTGGACATGATAACCCTTAATACACATAACTTTATTCATCCTACAACAGGAAATACTTTTTCCCTATCCTGATATGAAGTGTGCGCTGCACATGTGAGCATTTTTGATGATGGCCTCCGTCCA